TTTAAACAGGTTGGATATACAATTACCAAATTCGTATCCGTTTAGTAATCGGATATCCTTAATCGGATACAGATAATATCCGTGTAAAACGGATGGGGATATTTCATCTTTAAACGGATATGAATGTGGACGGTAACCAGATTTTTAGCTATCCGTTCAGAGCCCTAATTGTACAATTTCAATGAAAGAAAGAATTGGGTGCCCACTTTTCTTCTTCTTGATGATACAATTTCAATGAAAAAAATAATGGGGCTTAATTTCTGTAATGTTTTGTTCAAAATTATACTATATTCATTTTTCTTAAACGTATCAGTTTGGTTGGCTACAAATGTTATGTGGCCTAGAGTCCTAAACTATTGTCACATCTTCATATATACAATGGTAGGAGGCCAAAATGAACAGTGTTCCCGCCTAAATTATTCGGGTCGGGTATGGGCTAATTGGGCTATGTTATGTAATGGGCCTGGTACGGATATTGGGCATCAAATGTTAAGCGCCAGGCTGTTAAACAAAACTAAATTAAAAATAGGACTGCTGTAGTTTAATAGGGTTGCAGAATAGGTAATTATTAAAAAAAATGGAAAGTGTGAGCACACTTTTTACGGCTGAGCGGCATGTTTAATTATTAAAACAACAATTGGGGCGTGTGAGCACACTTCTTTAAACTGAAAAGCACTTTTTAAATATGCCCAATTTCCTAATGCATTTAATGCTAAGGATTTGAAAAAATCTTATGGTACCTGAACATTAAATGCAATAGATTCTCACACCTATCCAAGACCATTATATAACCGTAGTTGAAGAGCCAAATTTTCCATCACCCACAAAACTTCCTTACCAAAAAGAATACCATTATATCCAAAAAGCCTTTAAAAGAAATGTGGCACATGCTTGACAACATTAATAACGAAAAAACGGGATGGATACTTAAGTTGCGAGCAATTCGCGTTTACCATGTTCCGGCTTGGTCTAAGGGCGGAGATTCCTTAGAAGTCATCTTCCACGATGATCGCGTAATTTATTAGTATACTTTCTTACACAATATTTTCATTCTTCTAAACTTATTTTCTAAATATTTTCTTTTTTTTTGCATGGAACAAGGATTCATGCTCAACTAAAAAGTCCCGAAAAGAAGCGTTTTGAAAACCAAATTGTTGAAGATGGCATTTTTGGAATCCGAAATGTTTTTGTTAATGATAATTACGAAACATGCAAAACAACTTCGCATAAATATTTGTTGGTTTTTTATCCAAAAACAGAAGTCAAGACTTTGAGTGAAAAAGATTTTCCCAATTTCAAGTTCGATTTGAAATCATTTTCGGACCTTCAATCTCAACCATGTTTGAACGACCAACTTCTCATCGGTATACAAAACTAATTAATTTTCTTTCACAAAATCTGTTTCAATTCAAAATAAATTTTTACGTCCACTTCTCGCAAAATCTGTTTTCATTCCAAATAATTTTTTTGGAATGTATTTATTTTTAAATTTGTACGTTCAAATGAAAATCTATATTTTTCGCAAGTGCAGCGTTCGGTATAAACCTTTGTGCATTTTAAAAATGCATTCAAAGCATTTTTTTGAAGATATTTTCCTTCATCAACTTTACTGTCAAATAAAAAATTTGAATCCATTTTACTTATAATATATTAATTATCTTATTATTCATATAATTAATAATTTGAATTTAATACATAAATATTAAAAAAGTCTTTAAAAAATTCGAGTATTTAAAACGGCTGCTGAGGTATTAAAAACGGCTGCTGAATTTTTAAAAAAAAGCATTTAGTAAAAATTAGTATTTAATGGGTGCTCTGTTCGACATGCACGCAACTCAAACGGTGGCTGGATTAGACATTATGTAACCTACCATTTAATACTCTTTTAAAATGGTTGAGAATAGGCATGGGGAACAAGGCATTTAAAGCATACACGGATCTCAAACGGCGGCTGGAAATTACATTAGGTGAGAACAATTTAATAAGTTACTAATGCCTAAGAAAGCGTGGGAAATAGAGCATTAAATACTCCCTCCGTCCCCAATTTGATTACAAATTGCGGGTTACGGAGTATAATTTCTTACTTATTGAAATCATTTTATTTACAAATTTGTATATCAATAAGATATAAAAATTACATATTAAAAAACTACGTCAAAAGATCTACAAAACAAGAGGTGACAAGAATATTTTATTTTATCAAATACTTAATGAAATCGCGTAAACAAACAAAAATTATCGAGAGGAGAGAGAAAAAAATTGTAATCTATTTAGGGACGGAGGGAGTACAATTCACAGTGAAAGACGGCTACATCATTACTTAAGCAGTTCCAATCCATAAGCTATGCCCTACTACCATATAAAATACGGAATATAAATTTTAAAATATTAAAGAGAAATATTTTTTAATATTCTTTGGGTTTAATAAAAAAGATTTGGATAAATTTTACTATACTAAAAATCAATTTTGTAATTAAAAAAAGTATTTAACTTGAAAAAAGTTAATTAGGAATTGGAAAAATATATTTATTAAATTAAATATTAAAATAACATTTTAATACGCTAATTGGTATTTACTTGGTATATATATATATATATATATATATATATATATATATATATATATATATATATATATATATATATATATAT